AGAACGTTATTTCAACAACAAACGGACCTTTTATTAGAGTAGAACATAAAATCAAGGTTAAAGTGGTGCTAAGTGGTGCTAGTAATATCAGAATAGAGCAGCCTGTAATTGTGAGCAATGCTATGCCAGCAGAATTGCATCATCAGTTGCTACATACGGGAAATTTAATTTTAACGAAAAATTGATTCGAAGTGTTAAATATTAACTGAATAGAGGTGGATAGTTTAATGTTTACAATCAACAACTCATGTTGCGTAAATTTCAAAATTATTCATTTTTTCATGATCAATAAATAAATAAATAAGCCAACACTTGATTAGCGTTAGTAATAAATGCAAAGCTTCAATATTTATCGATTTCGATTTCTACATAAATATTTGAGCTTTCCTGCAACTTCTGTTCCTTGTTTAGTGGTGCAGGAAAACATAATATCAAAAGAATACATGAGTGCTGGGAATCGACAAATTAGAAATATCGAGAATTCATAAACTTCTTGAATAAGAAGTAACGCTGTCGAAAATATGATTTTACCTGGTCAATAACAAGGTTAAATAATAGTAAAAAATGCAATTTTATCATTTTTACCATTATTTTGCCTCTTCAAATAGCCTTAATCAAATTCACAATTTATTGAACTCATGATCAGTTTAGATGTTTGCACTACATGTATACGGGTCGACAATCCGGATAAGGTCGATTTTATAATACTTAAATACGTGGGACAGATTATTTACACCAAATTTAAATAAATTAATTGTCAGGAAATTCCGAGAATTAAAGGAAATATCTTACCGATGCAATTATCGTTATCGTTGTCGTTATCTCCATACGTGAACGAAGATCTTTAGAAAAATATTCCAATTTTTGTAACAATTAACCGTTTCGAACCAACATGGCTGTTCTAACGCTATGCAGTATGAAAAATTAAACGGATCAAATTAACACGAGCTCAATCCTGGAATTGTATCATCAGTACTAAAGCAAGCAAAGTTGATATTGTCAAAAACAACACTCGCAAGTTTTATGATGAATAAAGAGCATTACAAGTAATTTGAGCGCAGCGTTGGATAAAAAGCATATTCGTACCAATTGTAATTTAAATTGTGCTTTCATCATGTGCCGCGATACTTCGATGTGTATTGTTTTATCGAAGTAGCTCAAACAGCCATGGTTAAATCTACGCTTGTATCATCACACTCAAGAGTTAAACAAGCACACAGCATTGGTAGTTTCCTTGTCCAGACTTTTATTAACCGAATCGACTTCTTTAAATTCGTCTACAAATAAGTTTTGGATAATAACCAAGTAATTGAAGTCTAATCCCTAAAGAATGCTTAGTTCAAAAGTTATTTGGAAATCTTGAGAAACTATATTTCTACCACTTTTCATTATTAAAAACCTTCAAATGTTTTTTGAGCAATTGGCTAATACTTGCCATTCGATTCAAAGAATCACATATAATGATCAAGTTATGCTAATTCGGAGTTATATTTTTATTTTTTGAATTTGTCGTGGTAAAATTTCTGTTTCTTCTTAAGTTATTGCTGTTTGATTTTTTGTTTTTTGATGCTCGTTAATAAATAATAATTGTTGTTCTCTTTTAGTTAATTCTTTGGTGTTCGAGATATAATTTTCTTCTTCAGATTGTTCTGAAGTATTTGAATACGTCGTTTAGTGCTTTTTTGTTTCTGCGCAGTCCTTCGATTATTGTTGGGAGTGGAGTTTTTATAGTTTTGGGAGATCACAACAAGTGAACGAAATCATGACAGAGTAGAAATTTATAAAGGAGTACGACATACGATACCAAATAATGTTCTCGGGTGGTGCGAACTTATTATTTAAAAATGTTAGGAACTGCTGAGGAACTTCGCAACTCTATCTGCTCTATCTGTAATCCAAGTGACATTATTTTTGATGAGAAGCGGAAACTGGATCCTTTACATTCGCAGTACTACGGTTCTTCAAAAGATAAAAAAATTAAAGAGTGTCTTGAACTAGAAAAACAAGACCTGGCGAGGAGATAGAATCGCAAATATAGTCGAAACTTTATTCAAAACTAATTTCAATTCCGAATGATATAGACTTTATATTAAGTGTCTGTCTGTATTATTGCGTCTTACTATAATGATCCACTAAAGAGAGGTTTCGCAACGGGGATGAGAGCTAGACTAAATTATTTACGAGCAAAGGGTTTCTTTGGGTGTTCTAAAGGTTTCCTGTGGCGACTTGTACACAAATCGACCTTTTCTTTTTGATGGAGGGCGTTTTGAGGGAATAGAATATAATATAATCACACTTGTAATGAAAATCGAATCAATACGATACTAAAATCTTGTTTATTTAACAATAGTCAATATAATCGCAAACAGGGCTTATTGATACGGCCTGTCCAAGAAAACAAAATTAAAAATAAAAACAAAGAAACCAACAGCTTATTTAGAGTGGAGGAGCATCCACTATTCACAAGGTTTTGAAGTTGATCACAAAACAAATAAAATCATAGTGTATTCACAAGTAATATTATTACTACAAGTAAGAACTTTATGATTTTATTAGATCAAAAGCACGCTCAAAGCATTTCTTTCTAAAGACTCAAGAACGCTTCTTTTTGTACAGTTTCGAATTAATACGCTAACTTTACACTATTTCCAAGGTAGTATTTACATTGATTGTTTCTCCTAAAACGTTCTAAAAGCCATTAAACAATAATTAATTGTCGTCCTCTAGATAATTACTATCGTTACGTACATTACTATTGAAGAACGATGGAGATGTTCATGATACGAGAAAAAAAAGTTAAGGTTCATTCATCATGTAGGAATTATCAAGGGAAATTATGGGAAGATATTCATGTGGAAATTAAGAGTAAAAATTACGAGATTAAAGGATTTAATGCAACAGTATACTCCAAATGATTTTAATTTTGGTATAACATCATGATGAAGAACTGACGGAGTACGTTATCATGGCTTATGAGATTGTAACAGATAAACGACAAAAACCATGATAAATATCTCGTATGCGAAGAAGTAAGTACGAATTAAGATACCAAACCAAATACTGTGCAAATTTATTATTGAAAAATTTTGAGACCCTATTCCAGAAAGCAGACCTGGACTCTCTTTAGAAAATTTAAACCTTAACTTAACCTCAAGGCCATTGATTGAGTAATTAAAATTTTTAAGAAATTGCATTGCGAGTCTTACTAAAAAAAAGAATTGGACTAGATTAATGTTTAAATTTTCTAACGGGTCCGTTATATTGACTTGCACGTGTAATTTCAAACCTGCTTCTCAAAGTGGTATGGTGGTGGTGGTCGACAATAAATTGTATCGGTATGTTTTAGGAAGTACGTAAATACAAAACTTAATCCACAAATAAAATATTTGCGGATTAAATTTTTTAAGAAGGTATAAATTTTGACGTTAAAAAATGCAATGGTCAATTACGTATAATAAAACATATAAAAAATGGAAATGCTCGAGCTATGTATACGTATATCTAAATTTTTATAATAATGACTAAATTTTATTGTCATTTTAAATCTAATTGCTTGTATTTTTGAAGAATAATACAAGCCTCGTGGGAACTTAAATGCAAGGACCGTTACAAAGAAAAATTTTTCCCGCGCTTTATATATGAAAATTTCAAGTTATCTATATTTCTAAATTTTATATCATTGAAGCTAATCAATTGTATTTTTGAAAAAATAAACAATATTTATGTCACTTTTAAAATGAAGAAACTGTCTTAATTATAAAATCAACAAAAAATTTTTATATGTATTTTACTATATACATGTACAAGAAAAAGAATGCACATTTACAAGAAGCCAAAAAAGACAACCTGAGCCATTTCGTGACATTGTCAACAATTTCATCCTTTTTCATAATGTATTATGCTCATTAATTTGAAAAAATATGGCGTTTCAGCTTAACTCTAACTCTAACCCGGATTCTAAAAAGATCACGAAATAGGAATATTAAGGATTATGAACCAATTAACGTATTCCCCCATAGAAACCATTGTAAAACAATATTCTAAAGTGTAAAAGCTTTCAAAATTGTGAACATGTTCTGAAGAAAGTGTAGTCAAAATGTAATGTGTTAGTTTGGGTAGGATGTGAGCTCGATGCCGTAAGGAATCGAGGTGATATTGAAGCCATATAGAGGGTGGGTAATGTATTAGTTAATGATAAAAAAATTTTTATGTATATGAAATAAATCGGGTGATACTTTTTGTACGTATGTAATTTTGGTGGAACTTTACATGTATTTAATACAGTATTACATGTAGTTCGGTATGCTCAACCTATGGTGCATGCCATCTAAAGTCATCAAAGTTTGTAATTTATAAAACGGATAAACTTCTTTACTAAGAAGTGAATTCAAAATTTAATCCGTAAATATTATGTCATATTTACGGATTAAATTTTGAATTCACTTCTTAGTAAAGAAGTTTATCCGTTTTATAAATTACAAATGTTTGATGACTTTAGATGGCATGCACATTGTCACATCAAATCACATGATCACAATCTAAATTCAAAGAGTTCAAACAAATTATCCAATAAAATTACAGATTATGTATAAATATGAAAATGCAAAAAAAGTACTGTAACAAAAAAAAACAGAAAAATCGTAAACAACTCAGTTTTACTATGAGAACTGTTTTTTGACCTTTGAACAAAATTTCAGTATAATATCTTTGAGTTGTCAGGTAAACGAAAGCTGGTACGACGAGATTTCTTCCTGAAAAAATATCACGTACCAAGCCATAAATCCCGTCATGTGACGATTTCAGAATTTTTTGATTAGTGTTTCAAATCAATGATAATATATGAAGCGACGAACTTTGAATTGCTATTACTCTATGAAAAATGAAATTGGCCTTCATAAACTGAAGCTAGTGAATTATTTTATAGATATATGAAGTTTTTTTTAGATACATGTATTTTGTAAAAGTGTGAAAAGGTTTAAAGTATTTTATTGATGCGACTAGCTTGCATTGAACAGTACGTAATAGAAAAGATAACATTAAGAAAGATGCTATACTATACATGTATTACTATGATAATTATGATCGTGGCGTGGGTAGTCAAAACACATTATTCGGCCGATTAGAAATGTTAATTGGCAAATTGGTAAATAATAACGTCATCGTACGACAATTACAGCGGCGCGGTAGTCTTTAAAAATATTAAGCTAGCTACCGCTACCGCTATTGCAAAAGGTACTGTTCCAAGATGTTGTATATGTTCAAGACAAATCTTGTTGTGGTAAACGAATATTAAATTTCAAAAAATTAATATCGATATCGTAATGATTGTTAATATAATTATTAGTATAGGAACCTAAAACGTTCCGTATCATAAGAATAACAACGGCTACGATAGTAGTAGCTCTGTACTTGTCATACATTTCATTTCTGTGCTTTCAAATTTGGACTGATAAACAAGTGATTCAAGTTGCAAACGAAAAATTATCTGCTATTGAAGTGCCAAGTGAGTATTTGAAATTCACTAAGGTTTAATGGGAGTCATAATTAAAATTATATAATATTCATTCCTAATAATAGATATAGAAATTTGTGTTTACGGAAACGATATTAAAATTACACAATGCGTCTTCACGATCAAAGATCGGAGTAAGATTCATCCGAGTTGTGCACGAGCGCACGATGACGTTTCATTCTTATATCGAAAACCTGTAGTGGACAAAAGCCATTGCTTCGTATTCATAGGAAATCGTACACTTTTCTTCTCGGAAGATAATGACGATGGTGTACATGAAATAGTTGTTGTTTATTTCGAAATTTTGGATTTAACCGGGGGCTGAAAAAGTTTCATTGAGCGTTCCAGCTGTAGCAGTAAAGAATTTTTTTGATTATTGGCATTTTGTTTGTTTTACGATTAAATAAATTAATTGTTATCGTTATGTTAGGTTGCACTATTAGATCCATCTTTTGATCCACTTACGAATAAAGCTCGCGACAGTGAAATGGTAATTTAATTATATTAATCGTGATCTAGAATTCAAATAATTATTTCAGGGAAAAACAACTGAAAAGGATCTTCGACTTCAATTAAACAATTTCGCTGGAATTCAAAACTATACGACACGTGTAAGTATCTTGTTTAAGGTGATAATTATATTTAATCACACATAACATGTTATCGTTATATGTTAAAATGACAAAATCAGTATATCGTGAAATTCCTCACGGAGATTTCAAAAGTATATTTGGTATCACAGCAAATTACATAAATACGTATCACGACCATAATTGTCCACTCGCTATATTTCCCATTGCATAATAATCCGATTTTCACAAACACCGGATTTTTTCAATTATCAGTTGGAAGTTATTTACAGGAAGTTCAAACAGAAAAACGGCAAGTATCAGATCTCTAAACTAAAGTGTCTTTCTATCCATCAAATTAACATTAATCAATATTATTAGATTGCGAAACTTGTTTAATGCTCTTGGAGTTGCTGGTGGTTTAAGTAAATATTGAATACCTTTTTTTTTTCATGCAAACAACAAAAGAATTGAAAATATATGATTTCTTCATTACTCCAGGCGTTATTTGTGTAATATATATATTGTTCTTATTTTTCATAATCATAGTCGGTATCATAACAATAGGGGTTTAATGCACTTTCTTGTGAAATCGGAAGTAGAACAATTTGCTCACATGGACAGTATACCTTTTCTACACGAGAAGAACGACGAAAGAAGTTACTTGTCTCCTGAGCAAAGAATTGCGCAATTTGAAGAGCGTTTTGAAGAACTAGAAGCTTTATTGGGAGACTACTTTTTGATGTTACGCCATTGAAAAGTTTCAAAAAAGAAATATACAAAAAACGAACTGTTTTAAAAGTTTCGCAATTCGTGCATTTTCCTTTATAATCACAATGAAGTTCGGGAAAACCAAAACTATATAGTGAAATAAGCCAAATTCTTTTATTTAATAAATAAAGTTTTTTTTCTTTATAATACTGCCTCTATGATTAAAAAATATTTCCGGCCAACGCAAATGATGAGTCTGAATAATTGTTTAATAGATATTGTAATGAGGTGGTTTTAATGGAAATTAAAACCATTTTTATATTTAGTCTTTGCTGATGTATTACTAAAATGTTTTTTTTTTAATTTGAATTTCTAAATTACGTATATCGAATCAGTGTGCAGATATACCGTTTAAATTAAAAGCATATGTACTTTTAATATTAACGTTAATTTGATGAAAATCTCAACGTTAATATTCATGTATAATTCGAAATGCCTTTATCACTTTATTTCTTTTATCTATTTTTGGAATAGCGTTCACAATTCAGTTTTCCCAACAAAATGTCAAAAGCAACATTAATAGTGAACTTACTGTTTCCATATCCGGATCGAATTGAGTATGTTCTCCAAGAAATTAAGTAGATTTATTTACGATACAAGACGTCAGTTCACTAAAAATGGACGTTTCATAAATACTCTACTTTATAATTTAAGATATATCGATATCATTGTTGTCGGTATTTACTATATTTATTTATTAACGTTAAATATTAATATTAAAAAATATACACGCACGTACTTCTCTATAAGGCAACTGCAGATCATATATTAAAAATATACATGCACGTACTTCTCTATAAGGCAACTGCAGATTCCGGGATGACGAACAATAACGATAAGGGCACTGACATATATTACCTAATATCACTTTGATAGAGGTGTCCACCCAGGTAAGGTATTATAACCAATCAAATGCTTAATTATGTATCACATAAGATCCCCCATCCTAAGATATATGTCAGTGCTCTAATGATTTATCACCAAAATTAGTACGTAGCAATATCGTATCGTTATTTTCAATCCTAAAACGTTAAATTATCGTTACGTACGCAGATGCAAAATGCAAATCCGGAATGGTAGATCAATTTTAATTGTAGCACCACGCGCACGACAGAACATGCACGAGTATTTGATCGGAAGGTTATAAATTAGAAAGAGAAAAGATCAAACTCAATAAAAAACAACATCCTTTCAGTCTAATCAATAAAAATATGTCCGATTTCAAACTGCCAAGAAATACCGAATTTTATTCAGTAACTATCACAACAATCGCCCTACATTTGCTCAACCTTTTTGGATCTGCCTATATATTTTATAGAACGTTTCGATATTGGCGAGAAAGAGAGTATAAATCCTTGGCAATGTCACATCGATTGCCATTATATGCCGCGTCAACAGGTATTATAAAAGAAATAATTGAACAATAAAAGCAACAGTAATTAACTTTTCTGATGGTTTTGTTTGTCCCAGATTTTTTGACGGCAGGGTTGAGTATTATTAACGGGGTGATTATAATTTCTCTTTCTATCTGCATTCAATTTCATAAATAAACACTAACCTATATACCAAATTTTTCTCTCTAAATTAACGATAGGCCTATACACTTTGTAATTCGAAAACACTGCCAGAAATACCATGTGCAGCCACTGGGTGGGCTACAGCGATTTTGAGTTTTATAAATCAATTTATCTTTCTTGGAATCTCTATTATAACTTATTTAAGAGGTAAAAATCTTTGAATTTGAAATAAATTTAATATGCGTCATCCCCATTTACTTTTTCCTTAACCTTCTCCTTCAGTGTGTCAACACAAACCAATAGAGCTTGGTCGATTCGACTATAAACTTTTTACATTCAGTTGTCTCTTAACTGGAATTGCACTTGCGATTGTTTCTCGAGATGGATATGGTGCTCAAAAATATTGGTTAGTTAAAATTTGGGGTATTATGAAATTTAAGAAAACATCATCACATATCTACGTATTATTGCATTCAGGTGTGCAAACAAAGTCAAAGCACGAGCATCATTAATCACACCAATAGTTGAAATCATCTCCGTCACAGTGATTTCGTTAGCTTGCTACGCGGCAACTTTGCGAGCACTCGTACGCAATCGTCGAGAATTGAAAAAAGGCACAGTCTTTGCTTCTCAATATCACACGATAGACCGGATTGAGGAAAGAGTAACGAGAAAGATCATAACTTATGTTCTTTTCTTTAACCTTCAATGGGTAAGCGAGTTTTATGAGTAAGAATTTGCATAGCCGAATTTGACGTTTGATTTGAAGCTTATCATGTCTCTATATTCCTAGCTTCCTATTGCTGTGTATGCTGGTGCTGCTTTAACCGAGGTAATGATTTTATTGGTAAACTTGTTTTTCTGAATTTTGAATTATTTCAACTTGTTTATTAGCAGGCCGCAACAGAAACCTGGGTTTATTATGTAGGAGTCATTGGTGAGCGTTCTTTAAAGATTTACCAAGAAATAATTTTCTATATTTAACATATCATTATTTTATTAAAAGGCTTAAGTTTCGGTGGAATTGGAAATGCAATAGCATATGTAATGAATGAAGGTTGGCTACCAAATTATAATACCTCATCACCACCTTTAAATAGTCATCAACATGCCAGTAAGGATAATGAATTCTCCCATACCAATACCACAATTAAAGTCGATATTGTTAAGGTTAGCAGTTAAATAATGCTTAAAAAGAGCTGCGCTTGATGAGCAATTAGCTTTTGATAATATGATTTTATGAATGGCGAATACTCCTTATTAAAACTTGTCAACTTTTAGGTCGAATCTTCCAATAAGTCACAAAACCAAGCGAACATTTGAATTTCTTCACTATATTCTACCCTACACATTAATTCATCATCATCTGTACTCTGTGAATCAATATACATGTATATACTGTACTGTTTCGAATTAAGTTTGTGGATATTTTTCCCCTCGTGGGACGAATAATAAAATAGTGACATTGCCCTTTTCAGTAATTTTTAATTTATTACATGTATATACATGTATTCATTATACGTATTAAGTATCACATGTGCATGTATCGGTATACGTACGTAACAAATTGCAAAATAAGGTAAAACCGAAAAATCATTTCGGGTTGATCACCAAAAAGTGTATTTTAATCGAAATTTTCCGGTATTACATTAACAAGCATGGTTAGCGTTAGTATTGTATACATGTGGGGGTGAATCAATAGAAACCAAGCAAATTTTTTTTTCAAAAATGAGTTTCTTTATTAAAACAATAGAAATAAATATACTGATCATTTTTAATTAATCATGAATTCCAATTTACATAATAAAATTTTGAGACATTGCATTTCAAAGTTTTTTTACAAAATTAAGATTTTATAATTTGCTTGGTTTCTATTGATTCACCCCATGTACACAAATTTTGCGCTAGTATACCAAATTCGAGCTGGTATGCTATACTTGGTCGGAAAGGGTTACGGGGGATAATCTTGATCAAAAAAATATACTATAGCTAGTAATGTTAAATAATATGCACAGTTCGATCGAAAAGGACCGTCCTGGATTTATTCTATAAACCTGTTACTTGATCAGCTCCTGAATTACAATTTTTTTCATATAATATAAATCACGATCACATGGATAACAATGACTGTGAGACTAATAAAGACTATTTCTTTTGAAGATAAATGTTTATTCTATTTCTTTATACTGCCTTTGTTATTTAAATAATTGAGTCGTGTTAAGAGTTTTAACTTATTTAAGGCATGCTGCGTTTATTATGATTCTTTGTTTGTTTCGTAAGTACTACATGTAATAGACAATGGCGAATTCCAAAACTTATAAAAGGACTCGATCCTGGGATCGCATTCCTATGATAAAATCACATGATTTAAGGATCGAATTTGGACTGTGAAAGGATCAGATGGAACCCAATCATAAAAGAGTGGTTGATATCCCTAAGTATAATCCTGTATCATATTGGCATCTATTACCCATAGCTAGTGATGTTCATGAGACATGGACATTTGGGACATTATTCCACTAGTGCTGCAAGTTGATTGAGTTTTTACGGCTCTATAAAAAAAATAATCCAGTTTTTTGAGTTCCGGAAAACCACAGATTTAGTTATAAAATTTCTAGATAAAAATCAGATTAAAAATGGTGAAAATAAAAAAATTATCTAATAATTTAGGACAAGACACAGTGACCTGCAAAAATAATGCATTACTTGCATTATCGATCTTTAATTTTCAATCGCAAAAGATCTGACGAGCATATACAGTCTGCAACAAAAAAAACTGTAAGGAAAAAAATTATTAAATAATACACGTAACAAGATAAAAATTAGTTAATTTGAAAGCTAAAAACACACAAATTTATTCTACATGAGTTAAAATGATATACGTTCTCCATTGCATTCAATAATAAGTTCACAACGTCGTTTCATCGA